GAACCCCCCTCTTCTCCAGGCAGGCTGCCCGGGCCAGGATGTGGATGGGAACTGTCAACAGACACTCTTTAAATATTTACCCACACTTTCGGGGAGGGGGGCACATATCCCTATGCCCAAGACTGAACAAATTCAAGTTAATTCTAATGGAAAAAAATAACGTTGGTCCATCAACACCCTTCCCTAGGCATAGTGTCTACAGTTACATGGGCTTAATACAAGGAGAAAAGAGAAGGAAGCATGAGAGCAATGTGTGTGTGTGTGTGTATGTGTGTGTGTGTTTGTGTGTGCGCGTGTGTGCGTGTGTGCTATTGTGCTCATGAATGAAGATGAATAAGAATGATTTTTCCTGTCTTCTTCCTCTACAGTATGTGAGGTTGTTACAAGGCCACCTCGGGGACACACACACACACACACACACACACACACACACACACACACGAGTATAGACTGTACTATCTATCCTCTTACCCAGAGACATATTAAATGTATGTTCATTTTACACTAGCCATACACATTCCTGGAAGTGGCCTTCCTGACTTACAGACCTGCACATACATGTGTACATTAGGCACGCGCACAGAATGCTTGATAAATATATACATTTGCAGGTTTTTGCATCAAGAAAACAAAATCTACCTGTTTTTCTTCCTCACCCTGGGGTTTCAGGGTTGGGCAAGGAAGGACGTGGTTAGAAAACTAGATCTCTTCCTTTCCCATTCCCATCTGGAAGCAACTCTGTACTGGCTCTGGGCATAGAGGAAAGAATAGCAGGACAAGACAGTATAGAAACAGCATCTCCCCCGTCCTTTTATTATTTAAATACTTATTAGGGAAATGATTACTCTCAGCCAGATTCTTAAAGGAGAGTCACTGGTGTCCTGGCAAGAGAGCCTACTGGGGTCTTTTGCATTTAGGGAACTCACCGCTATTGAACTTAGGAACTGCCCAAACTCTTAGACACAGAACTCTAGTTCTGAAGCAGCAGGAAGGAAGGGTCCAGAAGTGCTGTGTCAGGGCTGCGGCTCTCACTAGGGTCCAGAGCAGTGGGGGGCACCCCAGAGCGGCTCCACCCGGAGCAGAGCTTGCTGCATCTTTGGCTTCCAGCCTTGCCGATCTGAGAGAGTCTGCTCAGTGCAGAGCTGAACGGGGTGGATTCTGGGTTCCTAGTGTCTGACCATGGGGGCTGTCATAAATACTTTCTCTTCTCTGACTGGAAAGAAGAAGCTCAGAGGGTCGGGATCCTCTCTGGGGCCTGTGCCTTATCTTTCAGGGGGTGGGGGAATCTATTTCCAGATTTTATGGTCCAGCAAAAAAAACCGCTACAGAGCTATTCTTCTGGGCCTTTGTGTCTTGGAATGTGACTGTCCTGAGTGTGCCGTTACCACCGCCTGTCCGGAGAACCCATCAGTCCTGTAAGCCTTGGTCGGACTTGGTTTCCCCTTTGGAGGCTTCTCTCATCTTTCCTTTATTTATTTATTTTTCTTTTACACGTACTGGTTTATTTCTGCTCTCTGAGCCTGGAAATAAAGGAACCGCAAGCAGCCATCCTCGCCGGGCCACTCTGTCCCTCTGCCCGAGGCCTGCACCACCCTCTTAGGTACTACGGATTTATGTTCGTTTGTTCGGGTCATTCTGCCTTTTTGTGTTAATTACCTGCTCCTCACTTATCTCCACCAGCGATTATTTTTGATGTCTGCCCTCTTTCGCCTCCCGAACTCTCCGGTAGAGTGAGGGCCCGTCACCTGCTGCCACTCAAGAATTATTTACACCTCGCAGGTGAGAGAGTTGATTTGTTCAGAGGCAGTGGGGCCCAAGCCGGCAGAAGCTAGGGGCTTTCTGGCTGAAGCTTCCAATCTGGCCTCAAATGTCAGTAGGCCAGGCCTGTCTGGGGGCACCTCTGCCTCTAACATTGAGCAACAGCGCCACCTCGTGTCCACTTTCTCCAATGCACTCTGACTGAGGAAAAGCCAACAGAGGTCCCAGGCCGAGCTGAAAGGTGGCAAGTTGAGAGGAAGAAGCCTCTAAATCGGTGCAAAGGAGAGGGATTCCCCGGCAGATAGTTGCCTCTGTTCTTTGGTTTTCTAAATTCTTGAAATAAACCTTGTGAAGGGTTCCACACTGTCCTCTTTTTGTAACCCTCCTTTCTGGAATAAAGAGACATTGCAAAGGAATAGCTGCCATCTCCTCCATTCAGACGTTTTCTAGTCTAAAAACCCCTTTGCGCGCTCGAATGCACCACCCCATCCGAAGCTCTCAGGACCTTCTGCTCCCAGCACTCTCGGTCCCTCTTATCCAGATGCAAGATGCACCGCCTATTCTGCCGCTGCCTGCCGGACTTGAGGGTGGGACTCTGGCTGTCCTAGGCTGCCCCCACCCTCGGGTTTGTAGCCCGTCCCTAGCGCGCTCTTCACCTCTCCCTCTCAGCCAGAGAGATCCTGATCTCCGTGGGCTATAGACAAAACATTCCTATAATCCGATTTCAAAGGAAAGAGTGTCCACCTTATTTAAACCATAAAACAATTAAGCCCAGACGTCTAGCCAGCTCCGCGCTGCTGTTTTGTTCGGCCCCATTCAGAACCCAGAGCAGGGAGACAAACAGGGCCATAAAAGTGGCATTTCTGGGCTACGGAAATGTACCTATCCGCTGCCTTCCCAAGTGGGACAACCTTTAGGGTTTTGTGATTCTGACAAAGGAGCAGAGGAGAGGTGGGAGGGAACATGAGGGGAAGAGGGTGTTTGCCAGCCCCTCTCCTGGCCTGCTTTCATTTCTCTCCCCAGATGTGTGTTGTTTTAATTCACAAATGGTAATGAATAAAATAGAATCTAATCCCGATCTGGAGGCTGGAAACCGGGATTAAAGAGTGGGCCTACTCTAAATCCTACCTTCTCCTGGGTCCTACAAGCCCTGAGGCCCCCTTTCCAGAGGGCAGGCTTCAGGAAGCAGGCCACGCTGGACTCGGAGAGGAGGCTTCAGGGCCTTGGAGCAGGGGCGGGGTGGAAGCCCGGAAACAGCGCTGAGCTCAGGCAGAGAGAGAAGCCCGCATCCTGGCTCTTGATGGTCCAGACTAAGGGAGAGCAGGGTGTCTTGGCTCCTACCAAGTGCGAATCTTAGGCCAGGGTTGCAGAACAGCAAAAAGGCCAAAGGGAAAGAGAAAGGTAGTGAGAAAAATAAAGGCGAAGCATCTTCCCAAAAGACCAAGGGATCAACGCTCAGGAGGGGGAGTGAAGTCTACTAAGCAGGAAATGGTGACTGCATTAACAGTCTGTTGTTGTCACTTGGCTGCTGGTCCCCCAATACTAAAAAAAACCCAAAAATTTCAATCCTTCTCACCTTCCTCCCACCCTCCAAATTGGAAGAAGAGGTAGAAGACTCAAATGATGGGTTAGAGGCTGTCCCTACAAGTGTCCACCAGTCCTGCCAGGAGATGCTTTGGAGGTAGCAACAAATGGGACCCCCCAATTGTATTCTTTAGGTAGTGTCCTCCGAGTAGCATCTTTGGCAGAGTGGGCAGCCTGAGATATTAAAGGTCTATATTTCAAACAGTCTAATTTTAATAGTTTCCAGATTGGGGGATTTCCAAGAAAAGGGGTGCTGGGCTGAGGCAAACCCAGCAGCTCTGTCTGCTTCTGATTAGCTCGTGAAAACTGCTAGCTCCAGAGAGAAGGTTCTAGAGAAGGGTGCAGCGCAGCCACCCAGCCCCACCAGGCTGTTATTTACATATCATCACACCTCTGGGGTCCAAGAGCCACCAGAGAGCACCCCATTCCTGGCTAATCCCTAACCAGCTCCCTTGGAGCCTGGCCTCACCAACCCCTAGGAGTACTACTTAGCATGACCTTAGTCACTCTTATCAACATTCAAACTAAACATGGGGTGGGCAGGGAGGGGTAGAAGGGGAGACAAGAGCTGGCAATGAATTCATTGAGAAGAAATTAATTCTTATTGTATCGACTCTGCTCTCTGCTTTCCCCTCTCCCTCTTCATTATGTTCTCTTGCCTTCCTTCTTCCCTTCCTTCTTCTCCCTCCTCCTGTCTTCTTTTTCTTGTATTTTCATCCCCCCCCCATTCAGTACTCAGTGCCTGTCCCCCAGTGTTCCTTGAGGCCTGCGTGGCCTCTTCTCCTCGCTGAGCATCCCTGCTAACCTTCTTTCTCAGCCAATGCTGAAAGCACCACAGCACCAAAGCAACCAGGCAGGAAGCCAGCCTGGGCCTTCACCCAGCACCCAACTTTCATCTTCACCTATCTCTTCTCTCCGATCTCATGTACTCATAAATTACTACAATTAATTACAGCCAGCAAAACCGTTCAAGCAGTGTTCCCCACACGCTCCATCAAGCCACTAGGAAACTCATAGGCAGTCAGCCGGGGCAAGCACAAGCTAGGCCTCTGCCTCAGCAGCCTCCACCCCTCCCCTGGAACCCCCACCCCCTTTCTGCCCTGCCTGGATAGAAACTGCAGGCACTTGCCCTTCTGAGGTAGGGGGAGCCTCTTCTCTGGCTCCAGCTTCTCTTAGAGGATTTAAGCCCTTGCCTCCTCCACAGAACCACGGGGGAAGAGAAATAATGACGAGAACTAGATGCAGTTGGGTTTCTGTTTTTTTTTTTTTTTTTTTTTAAGTGACTCCGATATATTAACAGAGTTGTTCTACTGTAACAAACAGAAGCACGTTACAGGACAGACGCTGGAGGGGGACACTGGGGTGAGAAGGACACTGCTCTGTATAAGCTTGAGGCACCAGCCTGCCTGTGCAGCCTGACCCAGCCGGCAGCACGGTCCGGCCCTCATCCCTCAGCTCTGGGCTGGGAATCATCATTGTGTGTGTCTTTTTTTTTTTGTATGAAATCTGCCCGCAGAGCTCCCAAGGCCCAGGAAGGAATGGCCCAAACCAAATACCATAGAGAGAGAGAGAGAGAGACAGAGAGAGACAGAGACAGAGAAAGACAGAGACAGAGAGAAATTCAAATACTGGCTTCTCTGAAGAAAGAAGGAAAAAAATCACATTTGTGTGTGTCATTTATTTCGGTTGCGCTGGGGGGAAGAGACCGCGGTTTTTCCTGCCTCCTCCTTGCTGGATAGAACTAACTCTAAACACCAATTTCTCAACACTTAACCCTCCCACATCGCAAGAGTTTGCATTTTCTCCTTCCTTTTTTCCTTTTTAAGATGGTGGGCTTTTCTCTATCTTGCTCTTTCCTTTTCTTTTCGTGTTTTCTCCCGCCTGGGTTGGGGCATTTTTGTGGGGTTTTTGTGTTTCCCTTGGCTGTGCGGAGGCAGCAGGCTGAGGCAAGGCTTAGGATTGCTCCTTGTCGGTTTTCTCTTTATTCATCTTTTTCATCTTCATCCTCCGATTCTGAAACCAGATTTTGACCTGCCGCTCAGTGAGATTGAGAACACGGGCCACCTCGTATCGTCGGTCCCTGGTTAAATACATATTGAAGAGAAACTCCTTCTCCAGTTCCAGCGTCTGGTACTTGGTGTAGGGGCAGCGCTTCTTCCTTGTGGAACGGGCGTGGATCCAGTTGGCCACGGGGTTGCCTGCAGGGCCAAACATAGGCAAAGGGTCAGTCGAGTCCCCTTCCAGCCTGGGGCCTCTGTCATCACACCCCCGGGCTTACAAACTCCCCAAACTCAATAATTGAACCTGAATTTGGACACGTTTTGCTTTGGGCATTTTCCTCCTTTCTTTTTCACTCTTTCCCCTCCCCATGTCCCCTCCCTCTTCAGTTTCCAGCACCTAAAACTGTAGTAAATTTGAGGCTACCAAAGCCCCCACAGTCTAGTCCTCAGCTTCGAGAGTAGTAATTCGAGAATATCCTCATAAAAAGTCCAAATTCCCAACTGTTTCATAGGCCCATAAACGCTTCTCTCTCTTGTTTTTTATTTTTATAGCAAGGTCCCTCTCCTCCCTACTTCCCTCCTCCTCTGCCCCCTCCCATCCTCACAGCCCACGACCAAGTCCTGAAATTTCATAGTCTTTTTCCTGACCCTGAGAGTCCCTAAACCCTCACCTCTTTCCAGTGTCCATTTCCCGCTCAGAATTCAACCCTGCTGAGGCGAATTATCAGGGTTAAACCTTCCTCTCTCCTCAGAGAGCTGCTGGCCTTGGAGAAAGGCTCCCCCATATCTTAGCCCCACTGCTGGTCTCCACTGCCCCCCCCCTGCCAGCTCCAGGACAGGCTCTGCAGGAGACAAGCCTCCAATTTCAGGTTTATGGGAGTAGCTGAGGGCAGGAGGGAATCCTGCAGAGGGGTGTAATTAGGCCCTGGCCCCTTATGGAGCTAGAGGAAAAGATTTCCTGAAGTCTTCTCCTGGGTGCCCCCCAGACACTTCCTCACACCCTGGGGGCTGCTACCCTCCCCTGATTTCCTCCTTCTTCCTCCGACCCTGCAGCCTACACCTGCCCCCCACCTCTTCACCTACTCGACTCAGCCTCCTTCTATGCAACACTCAGAATCTCTCTCTCTCTCTCTCTCTCTCTCTCTCTCTCTCTCTCTCTCTCTCTCTCTCTCTCTCT